CATTCCATACTAATAAAAGGGGAAATAGACCAAAAGGAAATAAAATTATCAACCTATATGCACCAATGTCAACGCACCCAATTTCATCAAACATACCCTGAAAGACCTAAAAGCATATATTAACCCAACACAGTGGTGTGGGAGACTTTAACACCCATTATCATCAATAGATAGGTCATCCAAACAAAAAATCAATAAAGAAATCCAAGATCTAAAATATACAATAGATCAAATGGACCTAGTTGATGTCTACAGAACATTTCATCCAACTTCTACACAATATACATTTCTCAGCAGCCCATGGAACCTTCTCCAAAATAGATCATATCCTAGGGCACAAAGCAAGCCTCAGCAAATATAAGAAAATAGAAATTATACCATGCATACTATCTGATCACAATGCATAAAACTAGAACTCAACAACAAAAGTAAAGACAAAAAAACATGCAAACAGCTGGAAACTATAACTCATTACTTAATGAACAATGGTCATGATGAAATAAAAGAGGAAATTAAAAAAGTTCCTGGAAGTCAATGAAAATGAAAACACAACCTACCGGAACCTATGGGACACAGCAAAGGCAGTCCTGAGAGGAAAGTTTATAGCCATGAGTGCATATATTAAAAAGACTGAAAGATCCCAAATCAATGACCTAATGATACATCTCAAACTCCTAGAAAAACAAGAACAAGCAAATCCCAAAACAATAGAAGGAGAGAAATAATAAAAATAAGAGCTGAAATCAACAAAATAGAAACCAAAAAAACCATACAAGAATTAATGAAACAAAAGTTGGTTCTTTGAAAAAATAAACAAGATCGATAGACCCCTGGCAAACCTGACTAAATAGGAGAGAAAAACCCAAATTAGTAGAATCAGGAATGCAAAAGGGAGATAACAACAAACACCATGGAAGTCCAGGAAATCATCAGAGACTACTTTGAGAACCTATATTCAAATAAATTTGAAAATCTAAAAGAAATGGACAGATTTCTAGATACATTGATCATCCAAACTGAACCAAGAGGAAATTAATCACCTGAATAGATCTATAACACAAAATGAAATTGAAGCAGCAATCAAGAGTCTCCCCAAAAAGAAAAGTCCAGGACCTGATGGATTCTCTGCTGAATTCTATCAGACCTTTAAAGAAGAACTGATACCAACCCTCCTTAAACTGTTCCAGAAATAGAAAGGGAAGGAAAACTGCCAAACACATTTTATGAAGCCAGTATTACACTTATCCCAAAACCAGGCAAAGACACCTCCAAAAAGAGAACTATAGGCCAATCTCCTTAATGAACATTGATGCAAAAATCCTCAACAAAATAATGGCAAACCGAATTCAACAACACATCAAAAAGATCATTCACCACACCAAGTAGGCTTCATCCCAGGAATGCAGGGGTGGTTCAACATATGAAAATCAATAAACTAATAAACCACATTAACAGAAGCAAAGACAAAAACCACTTGATCATCTCAATAGATGCAGAAAAAAGCCTTTGATAAGATCCAACACATTTCATGATAAAAGCTCTAAGAAAACTAGAATAGAAGGAAAGTACCTCAACATTATAAAACTATATATGACAAACCTACAGCCAGCATTATACTTAATGGAGAAAAACTGAAACCATTCCCTCTAAAATCAGGAACCAGACAAGGATGCCCACTATCTCCACTCCTATTCAACATAGTACTGGAATTCCTAGCCAGAGCAATTAGGCAAGAAGAAGGAATAAAAGGAATACAAATAGGTAAAGAAACTGTCAAAATATCCCTATTTGCAGATGACATGATCCTATACCTTAAAGACCCAAAAAACTCTACTCAGAAGCTTCTAGACATCATCAATAGCTACAGCAAGGTAGCAGGATATAAAATCAACATAGAAAAATCATTAGCATTTCTAACACTAATAATGACAAACTGAAAAAGAATTATGAAAACAATTCCATTTATAATAGCCTCAAAAAAAATCAAATACCTAGGTGTAAACCTAACAAAAGATGTGAAAGACCTCTACAAGGAAAACTATACACTTCTGAAGAAAGAGATTGAGGAAGACTATAGAAAGTGGAGAGATCTCCCATGCTCATGGATTGGTAGAATCAACATAGTAAAAATGTCTATACTCCCAAAAGTAATCTACATGTTTAATGCAATTCCCATCAAAATTCCAATGACATTCATTAAAGAGATTGAAAAATCTACCATTAAATTTATATGGAAACACAAGAGGCCACGAATAGCCAAGGCAATACTCAGTCAAAAGAACAATGCTGGAGGTATCACGATACCTGACTTCAAACTATATTACAAAGCAGTAACAATAAAAACAGCATGGTACTGGCACAAAAACAGACATGAAGACCAGTGGAACAGAATAGAGGACCCAGATATGAAGCCACACAACTATAACCAACTTGTCTTTGACAAAGGCGCTAAAAATATACGATGGAGAAAAAGCAGCCTCTTCAACAAAAACTGCTGGGAAAACTGGTTAGCAGTCTGCAAAAAACTGAAACTAGATCCATGTATATCACCCTATACCAATATTAACTCAAAATGGATCAAGGATCTTAATATCAGACCACAAACTCTAAAGTTGATACAGGAAAGAGTAGGAAATACTCTGGAGTTAGTAGGTATAGGTAAGAACTTTCTCAATGAACCCCAGCAGCACAGCAACTAAGAGATAGCATAGATAAATGGGACCTCATAAAACTAAAAAGCTTCTGTTCATCAAAAGAAATGGTCTCTAACTGAAGAGAACACCCACAGAGTGGGAGAAAATATTTGCCAGCTACACATCAGACAAAGGACTGATAACCAGAATATATAGGGAACTTAAAAAACTAAATTCTCCCAAAACTAATGAACCAATAAATGGGCAAGTGAACTAAACAGAACTTTCTCAAAAGAAGAAATTCAAATGGCCAAAAAACACATGAAAAAATGCTCACCATCTCTAGCAATAAAGGAAATGCAAATTAAAACCACACTAAGATTCCACCTCACCCCTGTTAGAATAGCCATCATTAGCAACACCACCAACAACAGGTGTTGGCGAGGATGCGGGGAAAAAGGAACCCTCTTACACTGTTGGTGGGAATGTAGACTAGTACAACCACTCTGGAAAAAAATTTGGAGGCTACTTAAAAAGCTAACATTGATCTACCATTTGATCCAGCAATACCACTCTTGGGATATACCCAAAAACTGTGCACAGGTTACTCCAGAGGCACCTGCACATCCATGTTTATTGCAGCACTATTCACAATAGCCAAGTTATGGAAACAGCCAAGATGCCCCACTACTGACGAATGGACCAAGAAAATGTGGTATCTATACATAATGGAATTTTATGCAGCCATGAAGAAGAACGAAATGTTATCATTCGCTGGTAAATGGATGGAATTGGAGAACATCATTCTGAGTGAGGTTAGCCTGGCCCGAAAGACTAAAAATCGTATGTTCTCCCTCATATGTGGACATTAGAGCAAGGGCAAATACAACAAGGGGATTGGACTTTGAGCACATAATAAAAGCGAGAACACACAGGGAGCTGTGAGGATAGGTAAGACACCTAAAAAATTAGCTAGCATTTGTTGCCCTCAATGCAGAGAAACTAAAGCAGATACCTTAAAAGCAACTGAGGCCAACAGAAGGGGACCAGTAACTAGAGAAAAGGTTAGATCAAAAAGAACCTAGAAGGTAACACACATGCACAGGAAATTAATGTGAGTCAACTCCCTGTATAGCTATCCTTATCTCAACTAGCAAAAACCCTTGTTCCTTCCTATTATTGCTTATACTCTCTTTTCAACAAAATTGATAAGGGTATCGAGGGGATAGGGGGGATGGGGGGAGAGGGAGGGGGTGGAGTGGGTGGTAAGGAAGGGGGTGGGGGCGGGGGGGGAAGTGACCCAAGTATTGTATGCACATAAGAATAATAAAACAATAAAAATTAAAAAAAAAAACTTCATGTTAAGAGTGACGGACAGAGCAAGTGAGAACTGAAGAAGAAAGAAGACAGACATCTGTGAAAACATGTCCAGTGCTTGACACTTGTTAATGCCCAATTCAGATGGCCAGAATTCATTAGTTAGTTGCTCTCACTGAGGGCATGGCTCAAGTGGTACAGTGCCTGCCTTGCAAGTGAGAGCCTTCAGTTAAAACTCCAGTAACACACACACACACACACACACACACACACACACACACACACACACACACACACACACACACACAAATTGCTCTCTTTGTTAGCAAATTGAATGGAAAACATCTGGAGTTTTTAAGTTTTTTCCTACCAAACTAGTTTTCTGAAGTGCTTTCCTTATGCCCAGTTTGCCCCAAAGTATTTGCTATAAAGTATACTCTGGTTGTTTAAAAACTTTCTAGAATGTAAGACATTCTCTAGTATCTTACGAAATGAAATGAAGTATATTTAAGTGGAAAAAAATAACCTAGGGACAAACAGGGTTATTTTTAACTTGTCTCAATTTTGTTTCTCAATACTGACATTCCTAGTATAACCCATTGATTTTAGTTTTCATAAGAAGTAACCAAACAATCAGTTGAAAAAAAGCAAGCAAACAAACCTAAAAGATAAGTTAAACAAAGATCATAGGGAAAAAAAACAAAAAACAAAAAACCCACAAATTTTCTGACTGAATCAACCAAGCAAGAGGTAAATAACTGCTAAAGAAGACAGAAAAACAACACAAAACAAAAACCTATGGACATGCTTTCTTCTCATGGTTACAGGTTAAAATGGAAAGGATTCTGTCAGCCAGGTATGGTGGTACACATCTGTAAATCCCAGTTACTTCACAGGCAGAGGAAGAAAGATGTCAAGTTCCAGGCCAAAAACAAAAGAGCTGGGGACTTAGTTCAAGAAGTAAAGTGCCTGCCTAGCATGCACAAGTACCACACACACATACACAAAAATGCCTGCCTACCCTCATATTAAAACTCAGAAGATACTTACGTTTGCTGTTTTGTGCAGCAGTTGCATAGGAAAACAGAAACAATCTTTTAAGCAGTTTAGGAGCCTGGGTATGATGAATTATGCCACTGACAATCTAGAAAAGAAGCAACCAGTGGATATAGTTATGCTTTTAAGAGATAAACACTAAGAAAGGCAGGAGCCGCCATGTGCCGTTGGCTCACACCTATAATCCTAGAGGCTGAGATTGTGAGGATCAAGATTTGAGGCCAGTCCAGACAAATAGTCTGTAGGACTACATCTCCAAAACAACAGCCAGAGCAAAATGGACTAGAGGCACCAGCGATACAGTGCAGGAGCTAAGGTGTCTAGGCTCTCAGTATGCTAATGGGGCTCTAGAGACACCACAGCAACCCTTTTTAAGGTCTGGATCTGTGACTTAGTTCTTGGAACAATGGCACCAACAGAATACTATTTTGTCAGGCTTTCTAAGAGCACTGAATTTCTAGGGAAAATTTTAAGACATAGTCTAATTGCTCAAAAGCAAAGTGCTAAAATAAGTCAAGTATTTCAAATATATAACAGGTCAAAGACAGCTGGTACCAGATAATAACCAAGACACTTAGCTGTTCTGACTCACTTGTAACCTTTAGGACCTTCTAGAAGATGAGAAAAAGAACTCAGCCTATTGAGGTTTCTGTTTGTCTACTGTGTTAAGCCAAAGTATATTTGGATAGATGACTAAAATCATTGTTTGAAATGAAGTGTCTGGCTTCACAGGGAATTTTCCACATCCTCACCATTCTTTGCCTGCTCAGAATAGATACTGGAGTCACTTTTATTATTCTAACTCAACTATCTGAAAGAAGCACACTATTCTGAAAGAAAATTAAGGCATTACCTGTAAGTGCATAATTCATTGCAGACAAGACAATACACATGTACTAGCCTCATGCTAGGTTTTCCTTGATGTGTTTAACATAGAGTGGCAATTTTAAGACCTTTATTATCTCAGAAAGAGAAATCTTGAAAGTTACAATGAACATCAAATTTGTATAGCCACTTTCTGAGTTCACCCAGTTAATACATCTGAATTTGCTGGCAACCAGAAAATTGTGTTTATTTAGTACCCAAAGGCATACCCGGTGACTGTGCTTTGCTCATCTGACTTGTGTACCTCTTCCTCCCACACACAACCATTACCAGAGGTAAACTCATTTCTTCACAGAAGTTGGAAATTAGGGCTACTGCCTTCAGATAGAATATCAGAGAAATAACTTTTAGCTGTTCCATCCTTTTCTTTCCCCAGATACCCCCTGACCTATCTTACCACTTCCCATCTTTTAGTGGTTCTAGGAAAAACAACATTATGAACTGGACGATTAAAGGTAACCTGCCGGATGCCAGTGGTTCTCAGCTATAATCCTAGCTATTCCCAAGGCTGTGACCGAGGATTGAGGTTTGAGGGGAGCCCAGGCAAATAGTTCTTGAGACTCCATCTCCAAAAATAACCAGAGCAAAATGGGCTTGAGGTGTGGCTCAAGTGGTAGAGTGACTGCTTTGCAAGTGCAAAGCCTGAGTTCAAACCCCAGTCCCACAAAAAACAAAACAAAAATCTTACACCAAGTTGACACACAGGCATGCTTTACTCAATTGCCTCTCATGCTTTGATCAAAAAATATGGGATCGCAACCAGTTTCAACTTCACAGAGGGAAAGGCTTCCTTCCACCTTTGTGAATATAAGTAAAATCTAGAGTCAGTGGGGGAAAACCTGATGGGAAATAAAGCTTAAAAACACATTGATTAGTTACCCTTTTGACTTCCTCTTCTTTTGTGTACCTCAGACAAAAATGGAACACTCGGAGGTCTTTGCAGTGGATGATAAGTTTCTCGGGGTATTTCTTCAGTTGTCCGAAAAGAGTTTTTTTTTTCTCATCAAACACTACAGATCAATGATGAAATCAGGAAGAGAAATTATGCTATATGACAACAAGTTTATTTAGACTGTTCACTTCTAAGGACAGGAGCCTAGTCCCTCCCAGCAGAGGCCTTGTCTCTGAGAGAGGTCAGGATTCTTCACTCCTCTTCAGTAAGCCTAAGAATCAGATCAACTGGCCACTGTCAGCAGAACAGATTCCAATGGCCTGAAGATCCCAGCTCTAAAGCTAAGAATGGAAAGGAGAGTGGTAGGGACATGCTTTTGTCCCAGTCAATGCCTAAGTTTACAGCTATGGCACCTCCTGACCCCTCCCTGGATGGTGCTGAGAACTTAAGTGGCTACTGAATGATTTCTGAAAATGCCTTGAACATAAAAATGAAGAAGAGGAACAAGGAACAAAGAACAAAGAAAGGTTTATTTAGTCAGCAGAAAAGACATCTAATGGAATTTAACAGGCATTTATATATTGGCCTTTAAAGTAAAATCTACACATCAACACTGGTGACAAGCAGTATGATAAACATCTAACACAGAATGACTTTGTGTGGAGTATTTCAGACTAGAGGTGTGGCTCTAGCAGTAGAGTGCCTGCTTTGTAAACACAAAGCCCTGAGTTCAAACTCCAGTACACCAAAAAAAAAAAAAAAAAGAACAAGTTTTGACCCAGGCAGGAGGATCACAATTTTGAAGCAAGCCTGGGCAACATAGTGAGATCCTCTCTCAAAAAAGCCAAAACGAACAAACAAGAAAAGGTTCCAGGTTCATCTAACTAAGCAACCCCAAATGACTTACTTCACATCTCAATTTATCATTCATGAAGCTGCTTTAAAGATGTTAACTTACATGAACACATTTTAATAAACTATAAAGGGCTACAAGAATATTATCATCATTATTAGCTACACATTCAAAGCTGGCAACAACACAAAGGGAAAGAGATACTTACCTCCATAGATCTGATCCACACAATGGAGTGTAATGTCATTTTCTCCTACAACCTTATTCTTAAACAGAGTTTCCTAAAAGATTCAAAAGGAAACAACTGTGACTCCTTTCTATGCACTATTAGACATTCACACACTTTGTATGCTGAGATAAATAGGCAACCATACCCCGCTAGTGAAGAGATGATGAGGTATGTGAGAGGCCTTATGAGCATCAATTTTTCAAACTCAGGCAAAACATCCCCATCTCTGTGTTATTCCTAGGTAAACCCACCCTGCCACACACCACCATTTTGAGAAGTGTGGGGAAGTGATATTCAGGTCAACATTTCTCCATATAATGCAAAGAGGTGACTGACAAGGCTGTCTTTGGGAAAAAAACACTGGTAGACTCAAGTTTCTAGAAAAGTGCTATCTTTACATAGGACTAGGAACAAGTTGGTATCATAGACAGCAGCACAGAAAACCAGACTCAAAAGCAGCAGTGGTGTGCCTGTTTTAAGAACCAAGGGGCTCCTGGGACAGCTGACACACCGGGGCCAGGAAGGGCTCTGGTTGGGTTTCCATTGACAGACAGTTCTCTCCTTCCTTCAGTGCTCATTCCTAAGTAGCGACAAGTCTCACAGGAAGACTGAGAAGCTGGGAAAACAAACAATGTAGCCACAACTGCACTCTTCCTTCCAAACTCAGCAAATGCAGCTCATACGTACATCATTATCTAAGGCAGATTCATCATCACCCAAGAAGGCAATCTTGAAGTCTGTGCAGACAAGTCTCCCATAGACTCCACGCTGACAGGAATCTTCCTGTACATACTTCAGGACTGTGCTGGCTTCACAAAGCAGCTGTTCACCTGGTGGAAACCAAAGCAAGTCCTCAGTCCTCAGGGAACACACAGTACACAAACATTAAGCTTTCCTGCTCTATTTACACAAGGACAAACACACAGTACAATGTGGCACTTCAGAATGTGCCACTTTTAGGAGCAGCAGGAGCTGCAAATTTAGAAGATGAAGCAGAGTGGGGAAAGCAAAATAGCTCAGAGACACCTTCATGCAGGGGTTTCTCAAACTTCTCACTGTAAATAATGGAAATTTACAAATAGATGGTAATGATCTCAGCTGTACTTTCACATATAGATCTCAGTGTTTTCATTACTTTGATTGCAGCAGATGTTCTACAACCATGATACCCTACATGAGCAAGGTAGGCAGGCTGGTCAGCAGGCCCTGGATGCACACCCCAACCCCTTTTCCTGTGGGAGCCCAAGGCTTCCAGGTAGCTTTCCCAGATACCAGAGGTACTGCAACCCTCCACAGCATCACCATCTCCTTCTGGCTGGACGTAGCTTGGAGGATGAGAGGAAAAAAGAGGTCATGGCTGGTGGGGAAAAAAAAATGTATCCTCTCTTTTTAGTTGAGAGTATTTCCTCTCAATGTGTCACCTATCCTGTTCTATCTGTAGGCACCTGGCCCATGGGAGCAGCTGGAGTTCCTGGAGACAGACAGTACTTCTCTTTATAGTCAGAAAGATTAGGATTGGGTGACATGAAAGCATTCTCTGCTCCCTGGAAGCAGAGCTCATAAGGGTTGGATGGCTGGTTGAGGGCAGGAAAAAGAGAAGGAAATTGGGGAAATGAAAAACTAAGTGTCAATACTTTGCAACAAAAAAAGGGATTTTCTTCTCATGCAACAGAAAACCATCTTCCCCTCAGAATCTCCCTCTGGATTTCTCCATCTTTAAATTTGAAAATTCCTTTAAGCTTTCAATGTGAAAGCACAGAGTAAGAGTTTCAGACAGTCAGACTATCAAGGGGCACATATTATAGTGTTTTCTTCTTTCATCTTTCAAGGGGTCAATTTACCTCCAGAAGAAACCCTAAGGAAATACCAGAAGATGGCTCAGTCACACTAGAGAAACTAGAGAATATGGAAAAGACAATGAAGTCAGGGCCTCATTAAGGTTTAAAAGTCCCAGAAAAAGTGCCTCAACTAAATTCAAGGTGAAAGATATGTGGGCAAGGCTTCCTGTGCTTCAATGACCAACATGAGACAGCCTTTAACAGCAAGGCTCTTCCGCACACTAGGACAGTCCTGTCCCATGGTCATCCATGGGAGATCAGCAATCAGGAGGTAGCAGGTACTACAGCATTCCTGGTAAGACCCTCTATCACATGACATGCCACACCATGGTCACCACCTTGTCTGTGCTAGATATAGACTCTAGAATCATGAGAGCAAGGAGCTGAAAAGGAGTTTAATCTAGCTTAGGAAAGTGAGACTCAAAGAAGTTAACTGTGAACTCACACATGAGAGACCATCAGATAATCCAGAATATGGAAGAATATATGTAGCACAAAGTTAAAAATAAAAATTAATTTCAGACTCTATAATCCTAAGACAAGGAAAAACAACATGAGATATGAATCAAGATTTAGACCATTTTAGAAAAAAAAAACCTTTGAAATATAAAAGCATTTTTAAAAGTTATAGGATTCTAACATGTTTTACCAAATGAGATGGGTCAGAAATATCTGTATATTTATAACCCTTCAGTAAACTAGGGATGATTCTATTGCTTTGGGAAAATATACATAAAAAACTTAAGAAAAAAAGTTACTTTGCATTGGGGAAAAAACAGAAAAAGAACACACAGCTGAGAAGATTTTCCACATTTGGGAAAGTAGTTTCTGTTCCTAAACTCAGAAGTGATTAAAACTTAACTTAAGCTATAGTCACTCTCTTCTTTCTCAAAAATGTTCAATCAACCCAGACTCTTCCATAATGAATGACCTCAGAGCAAAGCCCCGATGGCTTCAGAGTTGGTAAATCCCAGCATCTCCAGTACCAGTGCTCTAGATGCACCGGCAGATGGATACACAAGACCACCCACTGATGCCTGCTCTGGGAGGCCAAGCAGCTGGGCTGTTCAAGGGTAACCTCAGATTTGGGCAGCAGGGAAAAAGTATGATAGATAGGGCTGTTCAATGGACTAGGATTTTCCCGATTAGAGGTCAGAAATACTAGATGGCCAAACAGAACAACAGAAAGCCTCATTTGTTTGTAAAAGTGAGAATTTCCCAGGTTTATTTTCATCCGGTTATGGGAGAGGGAAACAAAAAAAAAATTCTTTCCAGATGTTGGAATATTCAGAACCAAGTATGTAATTACTGAAATAAAGACCTTGATATGTTTGTCTAACTCATTATTATTAAAAGCTAGAAGATGAAAACAAAGAAGTTTATATATAGCTATACTAGAGATGATGTAATTTATCATTGGTTCTGAGTTGCACATGAGGTAGTATGCTAACACGACTGTTACCTGGCAACAAGTGAAGAGTTACTTCCTTCTCTGTTATTTCCTTTTCATTTGTGTGAATTTCCTAAAAAAAGAAGAGCAAAAGGTCATATTTTTCTTTAAGGGCTCAAAATAACATAAAGGCATGTCTTCAGAAGACACACTAAACGATCCCATACCACCACAAACTGTATATTTAACAAGCTACTTTTAAAAAATATGTTTTAAACTAAAGTAAGACAAAAAATTCTAACAAGTTTAGTGATAGTCTAATGTAGTTATTCTAATTATTTAGGACTGATAACTATTAGCTGTTCCAAGGAGAACAGCAAGAGTAGGCACCTTGTCTATAAAGGAACAAGTTAAGGTAACACCTAGCAAAGTAAGCACAAAGTCAGGAAGAGAATAGAAGATATGCCCCAGAATGATTCCCCTCTTTCTCCAGTGAGAATCAAGGATTTAAAGTAAAACAGATTGTATGTTCTTAAGAGAAAATAGAAACGCAAATGACTTACTTGAAGACAAAAACAGGAACACAAGAATGTATCTAGTCAGTACAGATCCATCTATTGTGTAGCACAAGAAAGAACATTCATTGTCCTTTCTAAGTTACTTAAAACCAGAAGACAGAGCCAAGGGGTGCAACCACTTCTAATGGGGAATCAAGGAGTGGTTCAGTATCACTCTTTCTCAATAAATAGGTCTTCAAGTCCATGTTTAGTGGATATTTAAAGATAATCAGCAAACTTTAATGAATGATGCTTGCAAAGTAATGATCAAAATAACTACTAAAATAATAAAGGAGAGGGCTGGTGGAGTGGCTTAAGTGGTAGAGCACCTGCCTAGCATGTGTAAGGCCCTGAGTTCAAACTCCAGGACTGCCAAGAACCCCCCCAATAAAATAAAATTAAAATTAATAAATAAATGGAGAGACACAAAAGGCTTCCTACTAAAGTCTACCACACCATCTATGAAGTGTTCTTGCCAAAACATCTAACCTTAATTTGCTTCAGCTTCTGTGGCAATCTATTCATTATAGGAATAAATACTGGAAAATGGATATGGTGCCACCTATAATTCCAGCATTTGGGAGGCAAAGGCAGGAGGATCTGAGTTGAAGGCCACATTGAGCTACATAGCAAGTTTCAGGCCAACCTGGGTTACACAGTGAGACATTGTCTTGAGAAGGGAAGGGGAAGGGGAAGGGGAAGGGGAAGGTAAGGGAAAACACTGGGATAGAGCATGGGAATGCAATCAGTAAAATCTTGAGTAGGAAGTTCTACAAGACACAACACATTTTGTCAGCAAAACTGGATTGACTTATTTTATGTTATTTTATTTTGGTAGAATTCTGTAGGTAAAGTCCTCTGAATTTGTTAATACAGACTGAAACTATGGCATTAGAAGAAACTTGGATACAACTGAGGCAGTGAGAGACTGGACAGCCCAACCTGGATCCAGTAGCTCATGAGTATAATTCTAGCTACTTGAGGAGGCTCAGATAGGGAGGATTCCAGTTCAAAGCTTGCCCAGGCAAATCGTTAATGAGACCCCATCTCTAAAAATAACCAGAGCAAAATGGACTGGATGTGTGGTTCAATCAGTAGAGTGCCTGCTTTGTAAGTACAAAGCCTTGAGTTCAAACTGTAGTGTCTCTCTCTCTCACACACACACACACACAGAGAGAGAGAGAGGGAGAGAGAGAGAGAGAGAGAGAGAGAGAGAGAGAGAGACTGGACAATTCATCTCAAGGCTGAATAGAATGCCATGGCTTTCCCATGGTCTATTTTGGAGGTGATTTCCATCATAGGAGATGCCAGCAAATCAAGTCCCTCTGGGGCAGGGCTTCTCAAACCTGGGGCATTTAGGTCATCTGGGGAGCTTGTTGCCTTAGGCCCCATATAAGTGAAGGGGTGCAGCCTGGGTATCTAGTTTTACAGAAAGCTCTTCTGCTGATTCTGATGCATTGCTCTGGGATTTAATCAAGAGTGACTATTCATGCACATGTACATATGATGAATGTTTTGGGAATTTAGAAATTCTCAGAGTACTTTCCTAATCTGTCAATGGTAAAAAACTAAATTAAAGCATAATTATTTTTGGCAAGTTATGAAAGAACCTGAAGAAAAAGCAAAGCTATTCATTAAATTCAATCAGCTGTTGGAAAACTACAGTGATCATCTTGACTAGTGCTTGGAATTCAATCCAAACACTGGGGCTAGCTTGGAGAAGATCAGACTATTGTTTATCAGAAGTATTATCTTGTTTTTTAAGATAGGGTCTCACTATGTAGCCCAGGCTGGCCTTGAACTTGCAATCCTCCTGACTCAGCCTCCCTAGTACTGGGATAATGGGCAAATACCAACCACACCCGCATGAAATGCCTGTTTACATTCCAGAAACAAAATAATCCAGAGCTAACTTTTAGGATTCCATTCAACACCAAACTCCCTTCCGAGACCACTGTTCCCTGCTCCCCAACCTACTATAGTGAAACATCTCCCTTCCAGTCAGCTGCAAAGGGAAACTAAAAAGAATAGTGGTTCCACAAGCATAGGGTTAATCACTTCATTTCTGGATTAATTTGGCTAAAAAGCTCAGAGAAGTAAATCAAGTTGGCTGCTTAAACTACAGACTTGGAAACTGGGCCACAAACATGGGGAAGCAGAGAAAGCTGTTCTGCAGAAAAGGAGACATGTGAAAAGGATAAGGGGATATGAAATCATGGCTCTCTTGACACACACAAAATACTGGCCTGGACTCCCACATCTTTCCAGGCTTTTGTGAGGCCCAAGTACACCTTTGGCCCACAGTTCCATGAGTCTTTGTAACAAATTCCCTTTTTGGTATAAATTAGCTAGAGTAGGATTCTGTTTATAGTCAACAAAGATACTGATTTAGGTCAACTGCATTAACAATGAATAGCCACAGTTGAAGAGAATCATGTCATCCAACATGTATAATATCTATAACCACAGGATGAGGATCTAATGTCATAGCCACCACCTCACAACTAAGACTGGCAGAGAAGAGTCAAATGCCCAAAGTAGCATCTGCAGACTCAAGTATGTGGGGTTTGGGTGGGGGAAGATGTGTGGGGTCTCTAAACAGTAAAGACCTCACAGGATTTTGCCATTATTCAGCTGACATCATCATCCCTGAATGACTTTCTTTGGCTGCTACCACATTATCATTATGACCCTTGAGTGCAGAGGCACATACTGCCCTCCCCTCCAACACATACCAGGCAGAAAGTGACTTAAAACTTAAAACTTGTCAGGCATAAGGCTCAAATCTATAATCCAAGCACTCAAGGGACTGAAGGAGAAGGATCACAAGTGACCAGGTCACAGCAAGTAGAGTATTCTCAAGAATGAATATTAGCAGCTAGAGCACGTCCTGAAAAGAAAAAGGAGGAGGCTGGGGACCTTTTCCTACTCACCCTCATTTTTATCAAATACCTCAAAACCTTAGTATACATTTTTCATTTTAAAAGCACTGAATCCTCTGCTTCCTGAGAATAATGTTAAAAATGTTTTAGTATTGACACCAAGCTGCTAACCAAAAATCGATCAGATAGACAAAAAGGAAAACCCAAAAAGCAACTAAGTCATCCAGGAGCCAAATATTTTATGAAACATTCAATAATTTCAACATCAGAGGGGGATGACAGAAAAACCACCAAGATTCCTAACAGTGCTGAACTTCCTACTAAAAGTGCTACTATTCATCAGACTTCCTTCAGCACTGCAGACAGGAAAGGAAGGTCAGAACAACACAGACACATACTGCTACTGAAGAGCCAGCATCTTAGAAAAATAATCTAATCACCAAACATGTGAGCTCCTGCCTGACATGCCACTAAATCAACTATACCAAGACCCTATTCCTCCTAAACCTAGATCATACAGCAACCTCACCTATTTGGAATACTGCCAAAAATCTTAAGACAAAAAAGTTTCTCCGTAGTAACAAACGTGTCCAACTTTGTGCATAGAAATCAAAGTCTTCCACAATCTGCCATAGATTCCACCTCAACAGCATGCTTTTAACTCTAGTGATGATAGTCCATACAAGTACTCTCCATTAGTATCTCATTAATCCTCACAACAATTCTAGTATTATCTCCATTTCATAGATGAGGAAACAGGCTTAAAATGGATCAATAACTCACCTGAGATTTTAGAGGAAAAATTAGTTAATAACCAAGGATCAGCCCAACCCCCATCTAATTTAGATCCACTGAGAAGAGAGGTGAATAATGATAAACATTTCCTTTCTCCCTTCCTTCTTTCCTTCCTTCCTTATACAGGAGATTGAACTCAGGGCCTCAGACTTGCTAGGCAAGCTCTCTACCAATTGAGCCACACCCTGATAAATATTTCTTAAGCCATAAGTGCCAGGCATTGCTTCAAGAGTTTTATACTTATTAGCTTATTTAATCCTGACAGCAAACCTTTGAAATAGAGTTTTCATACCAATGAGTATTTCCATTTTACAGATGAAGGCACAAACTGGTATGTGGTGTAGTGGAATTCAAGCCCAGATACGATGGCCCCCTCTATATTCTTGCAAGAATACCATAAGGCATCTTGTCTGGAAAAGAAGAGGAATGAAAGTAAAGAGAAAAACAAGATAAAATGGTCAGTCGAGTACCTGCTGAACCCAAGGAAGAGCTCAAAGAATAGTGTGGGGAGGCCAAGAGGCTGATAGAAAAACAAAAAAACACCTACCCTCCATAAAAGTAATGGGCCAGCTGGGTGCCAGTGGCTCACACCTATAATACTAGCTACTCAGGAAGCAGAGATTAGGAGGATGGCAGTTCGAAGCCAGCCTAGGCAAATAGTTTGAGAGACCCTATCTCAAAAACACCCATCACAAAAAGGGCTGGCAGAGTGGCTCAAGGTGAAGGTCCTGAGTTCAAACTCAGTACTGCAAAAAAACAAAACAATGCAACTAATGGGTCTAAGTGACACTGGCCAGCTGCATGGGGAAGAGACCTTGGAGCTTTATCCTTGTCAGCTGACAAAGTTACCTGTTCTGATTTACTGCACTATGTCCTCTAAGGCATCAGCCTCTTGGTTG